TCATAGTTTCATTAATTTTATTATTATCTTACAAAGCTTATTTGTTTTTATAAATGTTAAATAATCTATGTAATTTTATTTTTAAATTATCAAAATAAAATAAATATTACTAAAACTAAAAAAAAGTTAAAAAAAAATAATGAATTTATAAAGAATAAGTAATTAAAGAAAAGAAAATTCTAAAAGAATTGTAAAAATAAGATCGCGAAACTCTGAGAATTGAAAAATTGCGAAACATTTGTGAAATTCTTAAGAGAATCGCAAATTACTTGCAAAATTCTAAGGGGAATCGTAAAGTAATTGCGAAATTCTAAGAGAATCGCAAATTTACTTGCAAAATTCTAAGGAAATCGCAAAGTAATTATGAAACTCTTAAGAGAATCGCAAATTACTTGCAAAACTCTAAGGGGAATCGCAAAGTAATTGCGAAACTCTTAAGAGAGTCGCAAATTACTTGCAAAACTCTAAGAGAAATCATAAAGTAATTGTGAAACTCTAAAAGATTCGCAAATACTTGCGAAATTTTAAGAGAATCGCAAAGATATTGTGAAACTCTAAGAGATTCGCAAATTACTTGCAAAACTCTAAGGAAATCGCAAAGTAATTGCAAAACTCTAAGAGAATCGCAAATTACTTGCAAAACTCCAAAGAAATCGCAAAGTAATTGTGAAACTCTTAAGAGAATCGCAAATTACTTGCAAAACTCTAAGGGAAATCGCAAAGTAATTGCAAAACTCTAAAAGATTCACAAATACTTGCGAAATTTCAAGAGAATCGCAAAGATATTGTAAAATTTTAAGAGATTCGCAAATTACTTGCAAAATTTCAAGGAAATCGCAAAGTAATTGCAAAACTCTAAGAGAATCGCAAATTACTTGCAAAACTCCAAAGAAATTGCAAAGTAATTGTGAAACTCTTAAGAAAATCGCAAATTACTTGTGAAACTTCAAGAGAAATCACAAAGAAATTGCAAAACTCTAAAAGGTTCGCAAATTACTTGCAAAACTCCAAGTGAAATCGCAAAGTAATTGCAAAACTCTAAGAGATTTGCAAATTTTTTGCGAAACTCCAAGAGAATTGCAAAGTAATTGCGTAACTCTTAAAAGAATCGCAAATTACTTGTGAAACTCTAAGGGAATCGCAAAGTAATTGCAAAACTCTAAGAGATTCACAAATTACTTGCGAAACTCTAAGAGAATTAGAAAGTAATTGCGAAACTCTAAGAGAATTGCAAATTATTTGTAAAACTCTAAGAAAATCGTGAAATAATTGCGAAACTCTTTAAAGAATCGCATATTAGGTTCCCTTTAAGATTTGAATATATCAAACTGAACTTTCAGATTAATCCAAAATTTTCAGTTCAGTTCAGATTTTTTTCAGTTTACGGTTCAGTTTAGTTTCAGATTAGTATTTTTAAGATTTATAATCTGAACTGAACTGAACCAAAATTTTCAGTTTAGTTTCAGATTGGCCTATAATCCAGACTGAACCGAACCATTCAGAGCATTAGCATTCAGCTAATAAATAATATAAAAAAATTGTTAATTAGAAAAATATCATACAAATCAATATAACAAATATTTTATCAAACCTTCGTTTGTATCTTTTTCAGATTTTTTGATAATAAACCAATTATTTAATAACTATTTTAAATAATACAGAAGGATCGATAAGGTATTATTAGCATTATTTGTAAAAGAAAATTGACCATCAATGCCTTCATCAAATAAATAACGCATCGCGAACAATATATTGTAGTGTTTCAACAAGTCAAGGTCTATATTTTTCTGATTTGTTCGTGAAATAATATTTTTAAATATTCGATGGACTATCTCCTTCATTCTGACACTAGTGTTCAACAATGTCGCATAATTTCTAGCATATTGTACCAAATGATAATTAACATGCAAATTCAGAAGATTCTCAAAATCTTTGAATACTTGTACATTTTATAAATTAATAAAATAGTAATAATAAAATAGTAATTAGCACAATTTGTAATTATTTGATTATATTCGTTAATAAAATAAAGATTGTAATTACCTGTGAAAATAAAATTCTTTCAATATTTAAACATTCACGCAACTTAATGTAATCCTCTTCTGTAAAAGAATGCTTGAACGCCATTGCTATTGTTTTCACTATTAGTATCCAACATTTTAACTACAGTTTTACAGTTGAATCATTACAAGAAATACCCGTTCGCATTCAGAGCTTGTCTATTTTAGATTGTTTGAAGTGTTTATACTTTAAAAACCTATTTAAAATAAACGAAAATATCATAGTTAGACGTAAACAATCTGATATCATAAAGCTATCAATATGGGATATTGAATTTGGCAGCTTTTGCCACGTTCTTGGATATTCAAACAATTTTCAGAATAAGATGAATTCCAATTTTTCTTGTGAAAATATTTCAATTGTTATTGAGAAATCGTAATACTTTTTTAGCCATAATATGATAGATATTTTGTGGTGACTGAAGATGTCTCTCTCTATTTAATTGGTCAAGTATTAGTAGCTGAATGCGTAACCCATATTCTATTGCAAGCTCTTTACACTTCGTTATCGTTAGAGCTATAGAAATTTCTTTAAATTGATTATCCGTAAGTTGATAATAATGAGAAATAAATAATAAATCAAGACCATTAGAAGTCTAAAAATCTTTTTTGCATTACAAGTTCAACACCCTCTTATAGCACTATGCCTCTTAACTCTGGCTAAATTGTTTCTTTGGGACAAGTCTGTAGTTATGTCTCCTAAACTTGCGATAATGAGACTTTTACTTCTTTATACATCTATTACTATTCCTTTTTCTAGTTTCTTCATCTCATTAACAAAAGGTCTAATAAATTCATCAAAATGACCACTAAATGGAATAAAACTGAGTACAAAATGATTCTTGAACTTCTTCCTCTCTTTAAATTCTATATTTCCAATTTGAATGTAAATGCTACCTAGTGAATGATGAACATTACAGAACATTCTGAAGTCATTATAATATATATCAATGTATAGCTTATATACTAGAAGATGTGTTAGCAATTCTTCTAATAGAGCAAATTCTGAAGGATGATCTAACAGCCACACTTTAATATATGACCTTTCTTTGCAATTATTACTTTGTAATTTATTCGGCAATTCATCAAACCTTAAAATGCATTGGATTATTATTTTGAGCTCGCCATATATTTCCACTATTGCTAAAATTCTACTAATTCTTGTCATTATTTTTCTATAAACTATGAAATCCTCACAATTGTACGTTGCTAAAAAATTGAATCATATTTACAATAGCCATTGTTTTTGTTATTATTGTTTAGAAATAAAGTAATATTTAATAAATCAGTTATTGTTTCAGTATTATTATAAATGTTGTTTGTATATGAAATATTAATATTTAATTACCTCCATTAATTCAAATAAATGCACATCCAAATCATGGAGATTCCTTCCATAAATTTCTGTGCCAGAGTTTGAGATTTCTTTCAACCATTTAACCTAGGCTAAAATACATCTGGCTAAATATTAAATGATTGTTAAGAGCATATCAAATTATATCTGTGATGGATAAATAATACATATCCTTAGTTTCTTGGGAAGTTAATAGGATTTTTTTGTTTAAAATACGAATTTTGCGTGATTTGATAGGAAGAAAAGGTAATCTTTATTGATACTTCCTAAACTGGTAAATGTTTGTTATGATATCTTTGTTTTTGAACTGTGGATGATGAATTATATCCACTAGCTCATCATAAGCTCGAGTAGCTATTAAGTATAATAATAGAACAAAATTAATTTAATAATTATAAAGATAAATAAATCATTGAATTGATCCTTATATATGTTATGTTTTTGAATCTAACAAAACATTAATGCTTTGGTAATGTTTTTGAAATACAGTATGAACTCTCTATCAATATGAGACATTTATTCGTTGCTTAAGGCCTTATCAACAGTTTTATCTGACATTTTTTCATTCAGTACTTCATCATCATGATCATCACTAGATAATTCATCCTTATTAGATTCTTTCATAATCATCAGATAATTCATCTTTGCTAAAATTTTCATTATTATTACCACCGTCATCAAATAATTCTTCATAAGATCCCTTGTTGAACAATTTATCTTCAGATAATTCTTCCTCAGCGAAAAATCATTATTAGGCACTTCAGAATTGGTTTTGATTTCAATTGACATCTTATAATCACTTTCATAGTCGATTTCTTCATTTGATAATTCATAGTCGATTCCTTTATTTGATACTACATAGTCAATTTCTTCATTTAGTACTACAACTTCTTCATTATCTAATTCTATTTTTATACTTAATGTATCTTTTTATTGTAAGAAGAAGTATTCTATTTCAATGCTTTGTATTAATTAATTAAACAAATTACATAAATAATATTTACCATTTATTCTAGTATCTTTTTTGTTATTTGAAAATGCATCAAATATATTATGTAGGCGTTTTATATAATTTTGATGATAGTTATATGAAGTAAAATGATTGCGAAACATTTGTAAAAATTACTTACGCAGAAAATAAGAAAGAAAAAATTAAAGAAAAATTGAAGAAAGAAAAAAAAATATTTTTTTAAACTTTTGAAACAGATGAAAAATTCTCATATAACAATTACTTTTTTGTAAAATCAACAATCTTTACATAATAATATGCCAATTTTAGTAATAACTATATTATACTGTATAAAGTATACAAATAAAAAAATCAATCCTCTAATCAAATTTAATAATGATGATCATGTAAAAAGAAAAATAAAGTTAATTTCGATAGTAAATCATATACTTTTATATGAATACATTATTAATCAAATTTAGTAATTGATCAACAAAAAAGGTTAATGTTATGTTACAATTTTATATAATAAAAAATATAAGCGATTTATTTAAAATGTATTTTTTTTTCTCTTTGCTTTTATTAAATAACTATGAATCCTTCTAGAAAATCAAAGAAACGTGCGATTGAAAAAATAAACACAATTAGTACAAATACTAAAAAAACTCACAATAATCAAGAAATAGTACCTTCAGATGACCTTAACAATCTTTTGATTAATACAGATGTTTCACAGAATAAAAATACAAAAAATACAAGAGAGGTCGCAAAAAGAAAGTACAAGAAACTGAAATTATAGATAATCGCAAAAGTAATACTATTAAAGGAACTGAACAAAGTTATAAGAGTTACAAAGGGAAAAAAGTTATCACTTCACAACCACAAATAATTGATGAACTTTTGAATGATAGTGATAGTTCAAATGAAGATAACAATGATGTTCTAAATGAGGGTAATAATAATTCAAATGAAGATGACAATAGGAATAATAATGATGTTTTAAAAGAGAATAGTGATAAGGCTTATGAAGCTATTACATCTTCAAGACCGATACCAATTCTAGAAAAAGAAGCTACTAGACTAATGTCAGCTCTAAAAATGGAAACAAATAGAAGATCAATATCAGTTCTAGAAGAAATAATTTCTAGACTGGTATCTTCCAGATTTAAGAGCTAATAACTAAAATAAATTATTATTTTCTAAACCAAAATCAGCTTTAGAATCAAGAACTGATAGTCAAGATAACTTTACATTTTTAAGAAGAGTTCTTTCAAGACTGAATTCAACTCAATTGGGTATTAATAGTCAAAAAAAGGTTTTTTGAGATTGAATTCAAGATCTCTATCGGATGTCAATAGTCAAGATGATAACTATTTCACTCCTTCAAAGAGAAGAACAAATAGTCCTAATTATTATGATCCCTCAAATAGAGCATTATATTCAAAACCTATAAGGCTATCACCTTTGAGTCAAGAGCAAATATAATAAATATTCTCAATAATATATTTGATGATACACCTCATTATTTCAACACAATTAATGAGAATATTCCTTTTCCATTTAACAAGATGATAATTTATTAGCTTTGTTTATAGTTATGTATAAATTCTAATGTTTTACAGCTGGCAAATAACATGCATTTGTCAATGCAAACTCCAGCTGTAGAAGGGTCATGATTTATGCATTCTATCTCAACTGGGTCATTGAATATAATATCAAATTAAGAGAATAATGCAAAGGCTTGCCGTGACTTTTTAGAAGAATTAAAATATTTATTTTTACGCATTCAAAATCTGCCAAAAAGTGCCTTTGAAGAATTAATATGACAAGTTCTTAAATGTGAACTCAATTTGACAGAAAGCATTGAATGGCTTCAAATGACAAATAGACACTTTGGTGACTTTTATAACAATTAGTTAATAGTATCAAAACTTTGATTGAGGATTTAAAAGAAAAAAGAACTTTGTTAGTATATTCGTTTTCTTTTTATTTATTTTTTATTTAATAATATTTATTAATTATAAACCTACAACGAGCCTATTATGAAAAGAAGAAATTATCTCTTTTATAGACGAGTCTGTGATGGCTCATGTATTAAGTCAGTGGTTAAATGCTACTAATGTGAATTAATTATAGGCTCAGGATTCAATGTCTCATCTGTGTAAATTTATTCAGCATGTATTTGCTGTTAATTATTCAGCAAGAGACATTGAAAAGACAAAGATTTTAGATAAATTGACAAAGATATCAGAGTACTTTTGCGAAATGGCAAAAACTTTGCTAATGATTTACACTTGTGATAAAAACTTTTGCACGTATTATTTTTTATTATTCATTTTTATAATAATAACATTTAACAAATTCTACATAATGTATAATACTTTATTTTTATTTATTATTATAATAATAAGTTCACAATATAATGCTTTATTTTATCATTTACTAAATTTACACTGTAGAAAGTATATAAAATTAATTAATAAACTGACTATTAAATTTATCATTAATTATTTTCTAATACATTGTGAAAAAATCTAATGATTAATAATTGGTATTGTTTACTATTATGTAAAAATATTTATTATATTTCTTTAATACTTTGAAACTGCTTGATAATAAATCAGCAGTGACATTTTTACAATTCGCAACATAATACACAGTAATATAATCGACATGATTTTCTGATGAATAGAAATTGAACATGTGACAAATAAGTATAAAATATCAGGTTTCTCCAAAGTATGTTTATTTGCGATAAGAAATAATAAAAAAATAAAGAAATAAGAAAATAAGAAAATAAAAAAAGATAAGAAACTAAAAGACTAAAGGTATTAAACGTGAAGGTTAGGTCAAGGTGCCTTTAAAAGCACTATTAAATGTATATTTAAAAGTAAACTAAAAGGAAAACTAAAAGTAAACTAAAAGCGAATTAAAGTTTATATGATTTATCATTCTCTATTTATATTAAATTTAATACATAGATGAATATAACAAATAAATTGAATATATCTAATATGTCTAGTATTTTATTGTATCAGATATATCAAATATATCTAATATGTTTGACATTTAGATCTGCAACATATTGCATCATGTTTATCAATCCAATTTGGTTACAGTATTTATGATTATAGTAAATATAAAATTTTTTATATAAATATATTTTGGCCTATTCATTAACCTCTGATCTCAGAATCACTTCAACTGCACCTCTTAAATTTTTTCATTGCATTTAAATAGCTTTAAAAAAGAAGTCATTTTTTAGATAACAATTATTTTTCAAATCGTGATCGTTATCATAACATTCTGCATTACAACCATAAATAAAATATGTTTTTGAATTCTATTCACAACTATTAAAAGAAAGATTTTGCATTGAGAATTATCATTGTGTTAAAAAATAAATAGTAGATAATTCAGTTTCGCATGCTTATAATAATGATTGATATTTTGAATCAGTCAATATAAATAAATGGATAGTAATTATTATTATTGTCCTTATGCTTGAATATAGCCTTAATAATTGCATATCATTTATCATAATTGTTTGCTTAAATTTTCACCACATCATTCTTGTGTAAATAGCATTTAACTTCAGAATAAGTGTCATTTTATATGTAAAATGCATTTTCGTAAAAATTGTAAAATTTGTTAATTAGTAATGCGTGATATCTAAAACTGTTATAGAAAAGAGCCAAATCAGATCAAAATATAGCCATATTAGTTCTATTATATTGTGAGTAGATACTGGCTTCTTTAGCTTTATTTTTTGAATTTGACTAAATTGGGAGCATATTATTATTATGAAATCATATGAAATCATCAACAATATATAAATGCATAATGTATATTTAATTGTCAATAAAGTTTTAAAACAAACTAATAAAAATTGAAATTTTGGTATAAATTAATAATATTTATGCTAGATTGTAAATATCAAAGGTCAAGTCTACCATCTGCTAGATCAAATAACTTGTATAGTCATGTAATATTTTAATAAGTCCAATTTGATTGGTATGCAGAACCATATTTTTAAAAATACAGTGAACCATCTCCTTTATTCTAACTACAATATTCGTAAGGGTTTCAAAGGTTCTTATATGTTAAAGTAAATAGTAATAAGCGTGAAGATTATGAAGATCTATAAAGTTTGAAATGACTATATTCGACATAATTTAGTTAGTAAATAACTTCTATAATATCAAATATTATAATGAACTTTACCTAAGTTAAGGTTTGCCATTTTTGCTTCAGAATCATTTTGAGTGTTTCATAATCACTATTTGTTATAAAATCTTAAATGCTAATTGAGAGCATTTCACTATAATTGACCAGCATCTGATAATCACATTAGCCACTTGATTGTGATATAAGCTTATTAGTTATTGTAGTTTAGCTAGTTCTATTAACTTAAAGCAATTAGTGGTTAATAATCTATTTAATATAAATAGCATTACTATCACTAATTAAAGACAGTCTAATATTATAAAGCTTTTGATATAGCTTATGGGATTTTGAAGCTTTAACCATTGATGAGGACATTCAAATTACTTTCAAATACTAAGAAATTTCCATTCACCATCTGGCAATAATGTGGTAATAGTTAATTTGAGTAATTTTAACATTTTGCTAGCAATTATATGATAGATGTTTTATAGTGACTGAAGATGTCGCTCATGTTAAAGCTAGTCAAGTATTGGAAGAGATTCTTACAGACCGTATTCCTTTGTAATGTCTTTTTATTGTGTATATGTTAGAGTTGCAAATATGACTTTAAATTGAGCATTTGTAATGTGATGGTAATGAGAAATGTTAGTAATATTTCAGTTATCGTCTGTTGTATTTTCCTTTGCAACTTAGCATATTCTACATTCTTTTATTGCAATATGTCATTTTACTCCTGTTAAATTATTGCTTTGTGATAGGTTTGCGGTAACACATCCAAGGCCAGCAATAACTCAACAATTTTCTCCTTAAACGTTCATTACCATTCCTTGTTCCGATTATTTCATGTCTGAGATAAATAGGCGAATAAAATTATCAAAGTTTCAGTAGGCACCAAAATCGTCATAATAAATATTGATAAATATCTTTAAAACTCAAGTAGAATATTCATATAGATGTATATAGTCTAGATTTATATCTCGTATTTTCTAATAACCATTATTTTTGTATAAAATTTCTTTAATATAAAGTCCATTAATAATATTTAAATTGAGAATAATAGTAATATTAATTTTTTTAATGATTTCGTTTATATTTATGATAATACTGCCCTCTTTCAAATATTAATCTACCAACCACAATTTTGATTCTTGCGTAGCAGAATGAGCATTACTGTAAAAGTTGTTTGGTAATTCGTTATAAATATAAACTCATTGTATTTTTATTCAGAGTTAACCATCAACGGAAACTATGGATTATATTCATCCAAATCTTTGACTCTTGTCTTCTTTATATATAATGAATTCGCTTGGATAATAATATTCTATTTAAAAATATTAAAAGTTATAATAATTGTTAGCATATACATAATAATAAATATACATATGATATTAATACCTCGGTTAATGGTTATCTTGTCTTGGCCAAATAACGGTGACTCTGCCTAAAGATCTTTATGCCAATATTCTTTTTTAACTTTGGCTTCTATTCCTGGTCTAAAGTATAATATGTTGTATAGGACAGGTTATTTAATACATTTTAAAGAATATCACGAATTGATAGATAATAATAAGACTTCATTTCTTTGGAAGTGGATGAAGTTTTCTTTTGATTAATCTGAATAGAATGTGACCTTATCAGCATTATTGGTAACCTATGTTTCTATTGTCAAAATCTTCTTACATTTTTATAACGTCGTTTGCATTAAAAGCTGGATTTTGTAATATATTATCTACAAGATCGTTATATGCATTCGTTACAGTAAAAATTGAACTTACAAATATTGTGTTTCTGTATCTAGCAAAACAATAACGCAGAAGTTGAATTTTTAAAGTAAGAAGCACTTTCGTTTATATTTGGCATCTGGTTGATATCCATTGCATCAACTATTGAATCTTCTTCATATACACAATATATTTATATAATCTCAAAGTTTATTTAATATAAAAAATATTTACTATACGATCTATTAAAGTTTATTTAGTTTATTCGATATACTATAAATACATTTATATAATCTCTTAAAGTTTATTTAATATATAAAGACGCGCCATATAAATATAAAGTCTATTTATACTTTGACCTGCATTGTTACTAAACTATTGTTAATCGTATTATTAGAACAATAACTTTGATCTAATACAAATATGGTAAATCAATTATATAAATATAACACCATTTAGACTGATTTAGAGTCAAAGTAAAAAATAAGTCTCTTTTTTTAAAACTTTTTTAATACTACTTTAATATTAAATTAAAATGACGAGAACAAAAAAAAAAGTACAAACAGTTGAAGTTGAAAAAATCGAAGAAGCAGGCTGAAATATAAAAATTTGTGTAATAATTAACGAGTTATAACAAGATTTATAATGTCTTTATCTTATATTTATGATATTTCTAATCAAAAAGGAGGTCGTGGAAGAGGAGGAAGTCGTGGAAGAGGAAGAGACTGTGAAAGAGGAAGAGGAAGAGGATGCATTGAACCTTCTGCTCGAATTACAATTATCGGTGACTCGAATTCAATCCAAGGAGGAAAGAGACTTGAACAAACTAATGAAGGTTGCGAAAAAGGAAGAAGCGGGAAAGCAAGTGCCAGATCTTCTGTCTAAATTACAACTATCGATAACTCAGATTCAATCATTGAGGACAGAACAACATTGAACAAATTTCTTATAATGATGACATAGAAGAGCCAAGTACTAGCAGTAAAGACCAATCTAAGGGAAAGATGCTTGGATTTGCTAAACTTATAATTCCTGATGATTTTGATGACACGATATATCAAATGAACCAAAAATTTCAGGTTGATAAATTATTCCTTCTTGTATAATCATATTCTAAAAAATTACTTTGTAATGTATTTACTGATAAATATTTTCTAATTAAAATAGAAAAACAACCCGTCAAAACAACCTACCAAAAAAGAAAAGGATCACAAATTAGCAGTCGTCAACAGCAGTTTGTTTACGAAATTGAAGATAATTCCGAAGAATCACATCAAAATAATAAACAACAATATTACAGCCTTGCTTCAAATGGCTGATAGCGAAGATAGTGATGATGATAACAGTACGAAAAATATGCTGAATTTTCTTCCTTTCATTATTTTTTGATATCTTATATATTTTAATTTTAGAACCAATAGACCACCAATATCAGAATTATGGAGGATAAAAGAACATTAATAAAAGACAAAGAACTATCATTAACGAAAGTATTGATAATAACGAGGCTGTTGTATCTTCTAGGAAGAAAGCAGGTAAAATTGTGGTTGTTGGCTTTAGGTCATTCATTAATTGAAAAATAATTTATCTCCGTGAATTCCAGTAACACCTAAGGCTTTTAAAGATATGACAACCATTTTCGAAGTTTGTCAATGGTTGGTTTTAGAAGACCAGATGTATTAATAATGGCAAACCAAATGCATGCAATGAATGTTTCGCTAGATTCATCTATCACTGCTATTGACCCTCAGACTGCTGTAGCGTCTAATAATAATTACGCAAGTAAGGTATAATTTTTTGTAACATGCATTTATGATAAACATGGGTTATTGGCTTTTATTTATAACTTTATTATATATAGGGGCTCGCCCGTTTATGGCACGAAGAGATTAAGTGCCTTTTCCTTCGATGTAGAGATCCACCAGACGAAGCTATAGAAACCCTTATCACTAAAATATTTAAATATGAACTATATAGTGATGAAGCCGCGGAGGTCTTATGCCACTCAAAACGAGTTCTAACCGATTTTCGCAGTAAATTCAACAAGAACGTGGTAGCATCAGTGCAGGATTTTAAAAACAAATTTTCAAGAAATGGCTAACCATTGGCTCTGACAAGAACTAATATCGATGAATTTATAACTCAAGACGTCGTCACTAAGAAAGCATTAAAAAGATATTTGACAGGTGTTAATATGGATAAGCTCAAGAGGTGTGGAACGATGGATAAGCTCGAAACATTTGTAAAAGAAGTGTTCAAGATATGTCACAATAACTACGATATTCAAGCTGTCAAGAAACTTGACTATCTCACGATCAGTTGTAAAGTTCCAAGTAGATCCGGCAAGAATATTGCATCAAATATTTTTCTTTAGAAAGATTATAAAAGTATAGTATCTTTATTCTGTAATGGTGTTTATGCTTTATTTATTCTGTGTGAAATATTAAAGTTTTAATTTTTTTTTAGAGCGTTGAAATTTATTTTCAAATTGACCTAGCAAATTTAATATAATAGGCAATTAAACAATGTGTTGTTTTCGAACAATAAGCTATTTCAAATAATGGGTTATGAATACCGCGTTTTTATTACGAAAATTTATATTTCTTAAACAATAGGGATTCTTATTTTGTCGCAATTCTCAAATAATAAGGATGACTATGCAATTCTTCAAACAATAGGGATTATTGTTTTGCGATTATTCTATTATTTTAGCAGAAACATGTAATTCTATTACACAAAATATGTATTTAGACTCAGAATTATAATGGATTTCAGATACTACGATATCAGATGAAATGGAAACAACGATATTTGGAAATGGAATTTTATTAAGACAATATTTTCAATTTTAAAATTTGTTTAATTTTCAAATTAATTATATTAATCAAAGTTTTAAGATTGTGAATTATAGCATTTTTATCGAATTGAAAAATACATAAAAATAATGTTCATAAAAAAAAGAAGATTATTTATCGCATCTATATAGCCGATATAAAGTAATGAGGTAGTAAATTGAAGGTGGAAAAATAAAAACGCTACTACCATTCAACTATGAAGTCACGTGATAATCACATGATAGCGGCATTGTCGCGAAATCGGGTTTCAGCAATGTAATAAAAAAAGTAGAGAATTACAAAAAAAATAAAGAACACGGGGTGGTGGAAAAAATGTTTCGAAGGGTGGGTGAAAGAATAAAAAATTAAAAATTTTTAAAAAAAAATAAAAAAACTATTAAAAACAAACGATAAAAAACGAAGAAAAAAAATAAATAAATACCGGGGAAGGGGGAATTTAAAAAAATAATCAAAAAAAAATAATAAAAAAAAATAACGGGGGGAAATTTAAAAAAATTAAAAAAAAATATAAAAAACAAAATTAAGGCCGGAGGGGAAATTAAAATAAAAAGGCCGGGAGTGATTAAAAAAAAAATTAAAAAAAAAGGCGGGGGGAATTAAAAATATATATAAATATATATATATATAAATTTCGAAATTAAAAAAAATAATTATTAGATAAAAAAAAAATAAACCGGAGGGGGAATAAAAAAAAGAAAAAAAACAAAGAAATTTACGATTTACCGTGACGAACTTTGAACGCGAATAACTCGACATCCACCGGTCCGGTTCCTACCATATTTAACATGATGATTCGGTAAGTGCTGATCTTAAAAACAAGCTCAAAATCATTTAAATCAAATTATCCAACCTAGAGATATTTGAGAATAACTGAAAGCAATTATTTTGCAGTTCATTACGGAAGCATATCAAGCAGGTGTGAATACCAGAACCAAAGCAAAAGAACTGACCGAAAAGTAATGATGCAAAACACTAATTTCACCATTTAGGAACCTAATGGAGGTGAGTAAACTGTATATTAATATGTAAGAAATGAAATAGCTATGAGAGTTGGTAAAAAAACAACAAAAAAACGATTTTCCGTGACAAACTTTGAACGTGAATATCTCAGCATCTACTAGACTGAGCCCTTTCAAACTTGATAATTAGACTCGGTAGGTTCTGCTCCTTCTAACAAGATCAAATCTATCCAGATCCAATTACCAATCCAGAGATATTTGGATAAAACTGAAAGAAATTATTATGAGATTCATCACGAAAGAATTTCAAGAAATTGTAACTACCGGAACTGAAGCAAAAGGAGCTGACCGAAAAGTAATGATGCTGAATACTAATTTCAGCATCTGGGAATTTAAAGGAGGTGAGAAAATTGTATGTTAATATGTAAGAAAATAGGTTACCCATGAGTGTTCAATATCAATAATTTAAATTGCAAATTCTTGAAATCCTTGAAATGAAGCAATCATGTGATCTAAAGGACATAGAAATGCCAATTAAAGACAACCAGATTCAGCATTAAGAAACTTCAAAATAAGTTAATATTTTTTAAATTGGATCACTGGAAGTTGAAATAGCTCTGAAAGTTGGTAAGATCTTGAGCTGATCTAAAATCAATTTTGGAGAAAGTATTCATGAGCAAATATTGAATTAATTTTCTGGTGATGCCAAGGTTTATTTACCTAAAAGAAATGAAAGAATTGCCCATTATTATGTAAAAATATAAAGTTACCTATGGAGTCTTAAAATACAAATTCTTATCTTAATCATTTATAACCAAATTATAATCAGATAATAACCAAACTTTATCTTAACATAATTTAAATATAATCTGTATTTAATACAATTCATCCTAATCCAATCTAAACCTTAATTAATAACAATTTAATTACAACCTAATTCAATTCAATTCAATCATATCTTTGAAATTATCCATTCTAATCTGATTTTAACCCAAAACAACTCCAATTTCAATTCCAGCCCAATCTAACTAAACCTAACTTATCTTAGAATTTGTTAAAACCTTACCCTTTTTTTATTGCGAAGCGATCCCGGGGCATCGCCCGGGTAGAAAATTGCTAGTTGCTAGTAATATATTACGCTATTATCTGTCCTTCGAAAAATGTCACGGCGCCTCCTCGGACGGGCCGTGCAACCGCTGATCACCGAAAGTAGAAAAAACAATAAACAAAAATCACGACGCAATATAAAAACAAGCATATCGCCAAGATATTAATAAATCATTTTTTTTTTAAAAAACTATTATTTAAAAAAAAATCTAAAAGAGAATAAACAAAAAGTAATAAAAGTACGAAAAGTAATAAAACTAAAGAAAAAATAAGAAATAAAAAGAAAACGAAAATAAAAAACAAAAAAATTAGGAAAAGAAAAATACAAAAAAGGTACAAAAAAAAATACAAATAAAATTAAAAGTAGAATGAAATAAGAAAATAAAATAAAAAATACAAAAAAGAAGAAAAATAAGAGAATAAAAAAAACTAAACAAATGAAAAATAAAGAAAAACAAATAAAGAAACGAAAAATAAAACAAAGAAAAAAATAAAATTACTAAACAAGAAAAAATATCGAAAAATAAAAAAAAATTATTTGAACGAAAGAGAAAAAAAGTAAAAAATAAAAAAAACGAAAACGAAAATGAAAATTAAAAAATAAAAATAAACATAATATTAAATAATTTAAAAAAGGCTGAGGAGAATAAATAAAAATATTATAAAACAAACGAAAAAAACTAACTAAAAAAAAGAAACTAAAAATAAATAAAAAATAAAAAAAAGAATAATAAAAAGCGAAAATACAACGAAAACGAAAAAAAATTCAATTAAAAAAAAAGAAAAAGAATGAAATGGGGAATAATAATAAAAAAAAGAAATTAAAAAAGATTAAAAAATGTGGCCATATGGGTGGAAAAGTATTAGTGCCAATTTCTGAACACATAAACCGTTTAATTGCTATCCGTGTTCAATTTGATATCATGGGTGTCGAGAATATTATTGTCTCTCGAACTGACTCTGAAGCTGCTACACTTCTCACATCTAATATCGACGCTCGAGATCATGGATTCATTCTTGGTTCAACCAATCCTAACCTTCTTCCTCTTGTAGAAGTCATGCGAGAGGCAGAAGCAAATGGTGTCTCGGGAAGCGAACTTTCTGCGATAGAACAAAAATGGATTAGTGACGCAAAATTAAAACTTTACAATGATGCTGTTGTCGATGCTATTAAGGCATCCAACCTTCCCAATAAAAGTTCTTGCCTTCAAAAATGGTCGTCACAACATCAAGGACTTTCTCACTATGATGCTTCCAAATTAGCGAAGTCGTTGGGTATTGATTTGTTTTGGGATTGGGATGCACCAAGATCACGTGAAGGGTTATACAGATATCAAGGTGGCACCAAATGTGCTATTAATCGTGCTATAGCTTATGCCCCATATTGCGACTTGCTTTGGATGGAGACGGCAAAACCAATCCGTGCTCAAGCTCAAGAGTTCGCTGCAGGTGTTCACAAAGTGCATCCTGAAGTGATGTTGGCTTATAATTTAAGTCCTTCATTTAACTGTAAGTAATATGTATTTCATTTATTTTAATTCTTAATATGTAAAAATATTTTTAACATTTTTGTTTTCTAGGGGATGCTGCTGGTATGACGGATGAACAAATACGTAATTTCATCTCTGATTTAGGTAAATTGGGCTTCGTATGGCAGTTCACTACGCTTGCTGGATTCCATTCGAATGCCCTTAGTGTGGATATTTTTGCTAAAGATTATAAAGCACGCGGTATGCTTGCGTATGTTGAAGGAATTCAACGAAAAGAACGTGAATTTGGTGTCGAAACCCTTCAACATCAGAACTGGTCCGGTGCTAATTATGTTGATAAGTTAATGTTGACAGTCACAGGTGGTGTCAATGCAACAACTGCCATGGGTCAAGGTGTGACCGAGGATCAATTCAAAAATTAAGCAGCATGATTTTGCAAATCTCATTTTAATACACCATGTTGTTTTTTATTCTTTGTATTGTTATATTTTTAAATTAAATTTTGAATGCCAATTTTCTGAAATTTCTTGTTCAGAGACAATCCATCAACTAAAACTCGCGTTATAATACCTGATCATATTCCGGTTGATTTTTTCAATTTATATTTAACTGAGCTTCCAATGCTGTCAAAATCATTTTAAATCTCTTATCCTATTATTGTATTTTCCTAGAGTATGTTTGCCAATGCACAAAAACTTTTGAACACATTATTTTCTGGTTAGCTCGCCGCATTAGCCGAGAAAGGGGAGGGTCAGAAATGATGTTATTCGATTTTTTGAGATTTCTTCCCCTGTATTATATTCATTTTGATTAACCTCTCGCAAATAACGTCAGAGAAAAAATCATTTAACTAATCATGTGATATCATGTAACAAACATTTTATAAATCCACTAATTTTAATATATGATGATTCTGATCCCAAAGCTATGAATTCATTGCTTCATCTCTTTATATCTATTGATTTGTTGTTATGCAATTGCAATTTTATTATCCCTTTTGCTAAAAGATTGATCCATACATTTGAGTTTGTCGTCTTGTGCACTGTTTTCTTTTCTATTTAGATATATAATCTTGACATGCATTTTATTAATTCCTTTGTTAAAAAGTAATTTCATTTTGATTCAGACGAAATGCTTTAGCAATGCCTATAATAGTTAAGAAGCCAATCGCCAATATATTCCAATGTGTACAATCGATTAAGAAAGTGCTTGTCTTATCTTGTACAAGAAAATCGTTATTTAATAATAAAGTTCAAAAGCATTAAGAGCTTGCTATGATTCACAGAAATTTTGATCATTGCATTTTAACAAATCAAGAGAATAATCAATACAATTTCTTTATTATGTGAAATTACAGTATAGTTATGTTTTTTTTTAATATATATAATAATTGATCATCTATTAATGATATTACAGTTTTAAAATTCACAAAGATGTTTACTAGCATGTTCAAATTTTTATAACCAAGTTCTTCATTAACCATAAAAGTCAACCCATTTACATCTAATTAAAGGATTTAATATGATGTTTATTAACTTTTCAGATAATAATATTCTACTGCAATATATATTAATTATCCTGATACATGTTTTTATATTATAAGGTAATTTAAATCAAACTTTAAAAATAATCAAATATTTTATAATATTTGCAAAAAACTGAAGTTTTTCATCAAATTTACCATTTGTTAACAAACATTAAATATGTTTTATTAAATCTTCATAATGTATAATTTACAAATAGATTCATAAGATAAATAAAAATTTACAATTAACTAGAATTTTATCAATAAATAGATAGATATATTAATTTATACTTAAAATTCATTAAGAAATTATAATTAGAAATAAATTTATTTAATATATATATTATTTAAATATTTATTTGATTGCAACTTAAACTATTTTATAAATGATAAAAAGTCAAAAATACATATAATTACTATTTTTTACTTTTTATAATTATTATACTTTTATATAATTTTTTTATTAAGATATGTAATTAGAATTAATATTATCTCTTCAAATGTATTACAGACAAATTTTATTTAATAATTAAAATTATTTATAATATTTTTAAATATATTTAAAATAACTTATTTAAAATTAATATTTTTATAATAAATTTTATAATATTTTCTAAGTAAAAATTTAAAAAAAATGTAATTAATTAGTGATATTTTAAAGATACATATACAGACCCCGCCAAAAATCTCTGAACATCTTTTAACTCAATATAAAACTCAAAATTTTAAAGTTTATTGAAAAAAAGTTTATTAATATATTTATTAATGTATAATATGCTATACATTTTGTACTAAGTAATTAGTACTTGGTCAGACCTTTATTTGTTTCAATTATAATCTGAATTCGCTGCAGCATACTATCAACTAAATTTTCAATAGTATATATAAGAATTTCTCGTCATGCCTTCTTAACGTATCGGTTGAGTTCAACAAAATTTAAAGGCTTTTTTTTCTTTCACGAATGCTTTTCTTGACATCAGCCCACAGATTCTCAATTGGATTAAGGTCTAGACTTTGAGCCAGCCATAGAAGTATGCGCAGGTCATTTTCTGCATGAAATTTCTTTGCAAGTTTCATTTTATATAATGCTCTGAATGGTTCAGTTCAGTTTAAATTATAGGCCAATCAGAAACTGAACTGAAAATTTCGGTTCAGTTCAGTTTAGATTAAAAATCTTAAAAATGCCAATCCGAAACTGAACCAAATTATAAACTGGTAAAAATCTGAACTGAACTGAAAATTTTGGATTAATCAGAAATTTTAGATCATTTAGAATGATAACTTCAATCATTCCAAATGAACGATTTTTATCATTCTTTTAGAACGATAATTTAATCATTCCAATCGAACGATTTTCTTATCATTCGTTTGGAATGATAATTTGATCATTTCAATTGAACGATTCTTTTATTGTTCGTTTAGTATAATATTTTGATCATTCCAATCGAATGATTCTATTATTATTCATTTGAAATAATATTTTGATTATTTTAATCGAACGATTTTCTTATCATTTGTTTGGAATGATAATTTCATCCCAATTGAACAATTCTTTTATCATTCATTTAGAACAATAATTTGATCGTTCAAATCGAATGATTTTCTTATCGTTCATTTAGAATGATAATTTTATCGTTTCAATTGAACTATTCTTTTATCATTCATTTAGAATGATAATTTGATCATTCCAATCGAATAATTTTCTTATTGTTCGTTTGAAATGATAATTTTATTGTTCTAATCAAATAATTTTCTTATCATTCATTTAGAACGATAATTTCATCATTCTAATTGAACGATTCTTTTATTGTTCATTTGAAATAATAAATTTAATCATTCTAAACGATCTGAAATTTTGGATTAATCTGAAATTTTTGATTCAGTTCAGATTTTTTTCAGTTTAGATTAGATTTATAATCTGAACTGAACCAAAAATTTTCAAATTGAATTTTTTACAATCTGAAACTGAATTGAAGTTGATCCAAACTAAAAATTTTTGGATTAATCTGAACTGTTTAGAGCTTTAATTTTATAAAAGTGAGCATTATCCTTCTGGAATATATCATTACTATTTGAAAATGCACATCTCATAGTTAGCATAACGTGTTTATAAAAGATGATAATATATAAAGCACTATTTGCTATTTTAAATAATGGAACAATGGGTCCCAAGCCTTGTCTTGAAAAGCATTTCCAAAACATTCAGCTAGGGCTGTATTTCACTGTAGCAGAAATACAAAAAATGTTTTACTTTTCCTGAGGTTCCTGTCACACTCGACTACATTGGCTTTATTAGAATTAAGAAAAGGTCGATTCGTTACTTCACATAACTTTTGACCAATCATCCTTTGTTCAGCTTTGGTAATCCAAACACCATGCAAAACGTACCTTCATATTTGCTAGTGATATTAGAGGATTTTATTGAACAAGACAATTGTTTAGCCTAACTGCACGAAGTATCTGGCCAATAGTGCAAGCTAAAACATCTTGGCTGGTCTTTTTTTTCCAAAGTTGTTGAACTTCTGCAGTACATAAGCGATGATTTTTTCCATTATTATTGGTTACAAGTCGCTTGAGTCAATTTCGTCATGAAGGTTCAATAAGAGATGATTGACTAGAATGAGGTTTTGAATTAGTAGTTCCAGTATCATTTATCCTTTTTAAAGTGTCAAATACTGTTAACATTTCACAACTGACAATCTCAGAAATAGTTCAATAACTATCGCCACATTGACGGCAAAAAAATATAGTACTGTGTTGTTCTGCTGTTAATTCTTGGATCATTTTCGTTGTTTTCAGAAGATTAAAGTTTATTTGGATTTAAAATCAAAATAAATAAATCAAACGCACATTTATTAGGTTTGACTTATATAAATAAAGTCCAGAATGTCATATGACCGCAATATTATAAAGTCACATGACATTATCCATATGTAATCACACCTAAAAAATAGTGTTCAGAGACTTTTAGCAGGGGTCTGTATAATAAATTATTATAAAAAAGGTAAAATTTTAAACTTACATATTTGTTATATATTGATCTCAAAAATATAAAAATATAATCATTTAATATATCTTAATGAGAAAAATCTAATAAACTAAATTCTATTTTTTTGTAATCATTTTTTTTAAAAATACAGTAATGCTCAATTTTTATCTGAAGTTTAATGTAAGACTATTTTTTTAAGCTTATACTAACCATGTAATATCTGTCACTATACAACTAATCATATTATGTAATCTTGCAAAACGTGATTAAGTGTATTAATTAAGTTAAGGTATATTAATTAGAGTTCTGGACGAGTCAAGTTAACTCACGAGTCAGATAAGCTGAGTCGAGTTTAAATCGAGTTGAGTTTATGTTTTTTTGACTCGATGATTTGCGAGTCAAGTCA